AATGTCCTAAAATTAATTCGGACTGTACTGGTTTAGATAACATGCCTTCACACCGCCCACTCCCAATGCACTAATTGTGTGGTGGAGAGGGGACGGAAATTGCCGATTAGCTGTTCTAGCCAGATGTCCCACCTCTAAGATATACTATAAAGCTATAGTAATGCAGAAAGTTTGGTATTTGCATAGGGATAGATATGTAGATCAGTGGAACAGAATAGAGAGCTCAGAAATAGAAGCACACATATATGGTTAATTGATGTTTGACAAAAGTGCAAGAAAAATTGAGAAAAGGAAGATCTTTTCAGTAAGTGGTGCTAGGAAAACTGGATAATACGTGTAGGAATAAAGAGTTTGTATAGGGGAGTAACAAAGGCAAGGCAGAGACCAGACTGATGGGGAGTAGTTGATGGGGGGCCTTGAATGGCAGGCTGTGGCATTTGACATTTGTCCTGTGGGCACTGGGCAGCCATTAGAGGTGTTTAAAAGGTAGTCAAATAATTGTTACAAGAATACTAATCTGGCGACAGATAATCAGCATTTTAAAAGAAGTTTATAGCTTTTAAAAATAGACTGTTATCTATTAATTATGATGGGTTTCCAGAAGTTGTGAGGCTCCTGTGAAGAATGTGCTTCACTTGGGGAAGGGAGATTGCAGTGGGGTGCAGGCTGTGTTCTAAGGAAAAAGAGTACAGGGGCTTGTGCTGCAATGCAGCCCATGCAGCCCTGAGAATTCTCCTGAGCTGCAAAGCCTGTGCAACTTTGCGTTCTGACAAAAATCCACCTCCACAAAAACTATAAACCTAAATGTGAAAAGCAAAATTATAAAACTTTTTAGACGATAGCATAGGAAAATATCTTCATAATGTTGAGGTAGGGAAAGATTTCTTATACAAGACATAAAAATTACTGCATAAGGGAAAACTGTAAAGGAAAAAATTGATAAATTTGACTTCATTAAAATTAAGGACCCATTTTCAGTCAAAGACAAGTATTCAAAAAACATGCCACAGAATGGAAAAGATTTTTACAGTGCATAAAATTAGCTAAGGACTTATGTTGATTACAAAAAAAAAATGACTATAAAGCAGTAAGAAAAAGAAACAGCTCACTAGAAAATCTGGCAACGTACCTGACAGGCACTTCACTAAAGAGAAAATCCAAATGGCCAACAGATATGACATGTGCTTTGTTTTCTTAGTGATCAGAGTAATACAAATTAAATCCTCATTGCAGGTGGAAATTGTTCGTTTATAGAACTACTGAAAAACAGTTTGGCATTGTCCAGTATAACTGAAGACCAACATTTTATGAACTAACAACTTCACCCCTAGAAATACACCCTAGAGAAGTGTGTGCAGATATGCAGTAGACTGTCTGTAAAAATGTACATAGTGCCACTTTTATAACAGCCAGAAGTCCGAACCAACTCCAGTGGTCTGTCCGCGGTAGAATGGGTGACCCCCCACCCCATATGATGTAACACAGTGCTCACTGAAAACGAGCAGACTAACCCTCTGCGACCCTGTGGGTGACTGTCATAGATGAAAGAGGCAAGACAAAGTACTATATTCCTATCAAGAGGCTAGACAAAAATAATATATTGTATATGTTTCATTCCCATAATATCTAAAAGTAAGCAAAGCTAAATTATGTTTTAGGGCTACGTATGCCTGTGGTAAACCTATAAAGACAGCTGAGGAAGTTGTCCTCACAGAGCTAGGATGCACTGCCTGTGAGGGTTGTGATTGCGGCAGCTGTGGGAGGCTCTGGTTCCAGTCTGGTTTTTGACCTGAGAATTACTGGCGTCCACTTTATAATCCCTGAATTTGATATAAGTTTTGATGTCCTTTTCTTTATATGTTTCTCATAATTTTAAAAAATTAAATGTTTGTATATATTTTCAACCTGTCTAGAAAGTATGAGAAGTATCTTTCAAAATTGGAAACGATTATTGCAAAGGGGGAAAAAGAGAACTTTTCTCAACTTAAAAAAATCCTAATAGTCTAAGTTCCTTGGAACTTAAGACATAATTCCTTTATTTTACAAGTACTCGTTTATACCGTGTGCTAGATCTGACTGATGATCCATTCAGCCAGCAATTGTGGAGCATTTATTGCTCACCCGCTCCACAGGAATGAGATTTAAGGTGGGTGGCGATAGTGTGGGTTGAAGTAATTGATGAGCTTCTTGTGCATTTCAAAACCAAACATATATACCTTTTGAGTACTTTCAGTTCCATAGTTTTACTTCTAAGTGGTGACTTTTCCAGCTGTTTTCTTCACTGAGCAAGTGTTTTTATTGTGGCTCACTTGAAGCACGTGAAAAAACTGAAGCTAGACTGTTTTTTATACGCCTCGCCTGGCCTTGTTAATAGATTACAGCATTCCACTTGTTAGTACCAGTGACACAGGAGAAACTTCTACTATTGTGCTATGTGGTAATGATAAAGAAGACAGAAAAGGTCTTTTTATGGTAGTTGGGTCCTCAAAACAACTCTTCATGTTCTAGTGATAAGACACAAGTTGGCTGTGCAGCAGAGGTACATTAGCTTGTTATCTATGGGCAGAGCTGATACAGACTCTCAAATTCCCTCCCAGTGACAGGAACCCCTCTGAAGTGAAGGCTTGCAGGGCTGGAGATACCAGCGCGCTGTTCGTCCTCAGGGGTACAAGTAGGGTTAACCTTGCTGTTGTAGAATAAAAATTGTGTGTAATTATTAAACAAAGGCCAAATTCTTTTTCTCTGTAATTAAAAAAAAATGTTCAAAGAGATACATATTTAGTGATTGCTGTTAGTGGAAGTACAAGACTATGAATTACCTAGTCTGAAGATATATATGAATTCGAGGGGAAATATGTGGAGATTTCAGGCTAGAATAAATCAGCAGCTTCATGATAAAATCTGTGTGTAGGCACCTGCTATATTTGTTCCGTTTCTAGGGCTGTGCAGGTTATGAGAGTTCACTGTGCACCAGTATTCTGAGTGTTAACACCTTCACTGCAGATAGCAACTTGTAAGCTTTGGCATGGACTTGCCACCACGATGGGGGAGGATGCATGTCTTCATCGTTTAGTTCTAAACAACAGGACCTTTTATGGCTAAGTACACATAAAAGTCCCTGCGCCTAGTGAGACCCAGAGAACACAGAGCTGTGGGGCTGACGTTGGGGAGCCAGCTGTGGTGTTTGCTGTTTGCTTGTGGTCAGTGATTGCAGTGGGGTGTCAGGCATTGTGGGGGGATTCCCAGTGCATACCTAATAACTTGAGAAGCTAAGAAATCTATACTGATTTCTTGTAATTCTTTAAGCATGAAAAAACAAATTTTGTAAGTTTGATTTTTAAAATAATTTGACTTCAGAGAAACTAAGAAAAAAAATCTCAAATCTTAATGTATTGTGTTTACTTTTCTTAAAGAAAAGGAGTAAAATAAACATTCACAATTAGTGCAAGTCATGTTTTAAAGGATACCAACTTAATTATTAATGAATTTATCTAGTGCTAGTCTATTAATCAAACTGTTTCCTAATTAAATTAGCTCTTTGAGGTAGGTTTACCTGGAAAATTTTAACTTCCTAAAAGTTTCCTTTGGTTGGCAGGAAAATCAAATCTCAAAGCTATTTAAGTTGTTAAACCCAGTAATTCTACTTTGAAATAAGACCCAAAAGGATTTTAAAAAATATAGACATTCTAGAAGCAAATTAGTATTCCATAGATTGTCAAGCCCTTGGTTTTAAATACTGGACAAGTCATTTCATTTCATTTAAAAAAGATTAAAAGTTAAAAAACCAATCGTGCACTGTATTTGTACTATATTTAGTCATTTTGGTTCAGGGGATGCTTTGATGAAAATTCTCCAGAAAGTCACTTCAGTGGATTAAGCTAATCCATGAGCTCCATAGGAAGAGCTACAAAGAGAGCAGGGAAGATACATGCTGAGTCATTTACTTTTACAAATTTAGAAAATGTGTAAGGCTGTCTTAGTTGGTTTGGCTCAGTGGTCAGAGCGTGGACCTGCGGATTGAAGAGTCCTGGGTTCAATTTTGGCCAAGGGCACGTACCTCGGTTGCAGGTTCAATCCCTGGCCCTGGTCAGCACTCGAGCAGGAGGCAGCTGATCAGTGTGTGTCTCTCTCATCGAGATTTCTTCCCCCCCTGAAAACCAATGGAAGAAATATCCTCGGGTGAGGATTCAATATACATATACATATAGTCACTAATATGTTCATTCTACATAGGAAAAAGCGATTACGGTCATATATTAAATATGTATTTGAGTTTTACACTTTGAAGTTATGAAAGAATGATAGTATTTCAGAACAAATTAAGAGTTACTGGGATGTTGCGTTGAATCTTTCTGGGAACTGGGATAAACTAGTCAGTAGATGAAGTTGCTGAAATGTTCATTTGTTAAAGGTGCTGTCATAACTTTTCAAAGCATCATTTTGATACATTTCTGTTTCAGTTCTCACCCTCATTGGCCCATCCAATATGCTGATGAGGCTTGAGTCATACTGGGTGGTAACTGTCAGAGCAGCGAGTAATTCACTAGTATTCTCTTGGAAGTTTGGAAACGAAGAGCCCAGACAGATGAATATTCCTTAGCTCTTAAGGCACAGTGTGGACATCAATTTTGCTTCTGTCTAAGGTTTGCCTTCCTGAAGAATCAGGGAGCATCCGTGATCATTTAAAACCACCTCAGTGGCTCTTGTATAAGCCCATTCAGTCTGTGCTCTCTTAATAAATTTTACAAAAAACTCATGGCAAGTTAGTATGATGTGTGTGTGAATTTTCCAATTGTATTTCAGACCTTAAGAAAGAAAGGCCTTAATGGTTGTGAGAGCCCTGATGCTGACGATTACTTTGAGCACAGTCCACTCTCGGAGGACAGATTCAGCAAACTAAATGAAGATAGTGATTTTATTTTCAAGCGAGGCCCTGTAAGTACTTTCGCTTTACCTCTCCTTTTTATTTGTTGATCCTTTCTGTTAACTTCGTCATCTAGGCGCTCAACAAGAAGGAGCACAGAGGGTGCGACAGCCCAGACCCTGACACCTCCTATGTGCTAACTCCGCATACAGAAGAAAAATATAAAAAAATTAATGAGGAATTTGATAATATGATGCGGAATCATAAAATCGCAGTGAGTACTAACTACAGTATGGTTTGTGCTTTTAACTCGTGCATGAAGAGATTGGCCATACATCTTGTTTATTTTCCTAGTGGGTGATGACAACAATAAAGTATTTTGTTTTATAGAACTTTAGAATAAATTGCTAAAATCTTAAAGTTCATTCAGTGCCTTAAACATAGAAGTGCAGAGAAGCATTCCAATCCAGGCTCTGCTGCTTACTGCGCCCTGTCCCATTGGGCAGGGCACCTACGACGTCCTGGATTCCAGTTTCCTTATCTGTAAAGTGAGTGAGTTGCCTCACGTAATTTCTGAGGTCTCGTCCAGCTCTAAATTTCAATGATTTTAACTGTAGGGTGCATGTGACTTCCCTCTCCCTCCTGTGACTTATTAAAAAAATATTTCATGTACTTTAAATAGATCTTGAGACTATAAATTATAAAATGGTTGGATTTGGCATTTCAAAATTATTTTTAATTATTTTGTATAGTTGCTGTAATAGTAGTAGCTTACTATTTGGCTTTTTTATGTAAATGTCCTTAAACCACTTGGCAGCAGGACCTCCAAACTCCTGTGCTTTTCTTCTGTAGGTTTTGAGAAAAGAGAGCCTTGGTTCTGTTTTAATTTAAGGAAGCAGTGTTCTTAAACTAGTTGCAGAACAGATAGTTGGTTTAAAATTTTCCATGCTCATACCTCTGACCGTAATGGGCTCATGCTCCTTTGATAGCTCTTCAAAGAGTTCTCATTGGAAGCCCCATTGGCAAGAGCTCCTTAAGGCAGCTGTTCTGAATCTGATTTTCGAATGCTATGTATGTATGGTAGGCCTCGTGGAACAGATTGGTTCTGATGCTGATACGTATTTCATTGTCAGAGCTAATTTTCTTAAAACTATGCTCTGAAGTATGCATCATGGATTATTTCTTCAAAGTAGTCCTACACTGTACCAGCCACTCATGAAAACTAGACTTAAGGAGATATTTTTGTGCTAATACCATCATTGCTCTTTAAAAGTACACACCAAAAACAGTAGCAAACAAAAAATAAAATCCCTTCTGACCTCATATGGATGTTGGTGACAATGCAGTTAACGTTAAACTGCAGAAATACTGTGTAAATAAGTGTTTTACCTTTGAAAAAAATTTAAATCTTATATCCGCTGTTTTTATCTGTTAATGAATTACAATTTTCTACCTGAAATAAACTGAGTAGAGTACATAAACTATATTCTTCCAACTTTGAATTAGCAGTGTTACCTTACTTTGCAAATCACTTTTAAAAAGTCTGAAGAGGAAAGTTTTTTTCTCTCTCATTTTAAATTATAAAGAGGATTGTTATTTATCATGGTTAACATTGAACATGGTCTGTGGAGGCATGAAAGAGGAAAACGGAAAATATTTGAAAGGGGGTGTGGAATACTTTGGGGGGAAGGAAGAGAGTATTGATAATAGTTGTAATCATCATACAACTTAGCTTGTCAATAGTTAATTTGATTGTTTCTTTTCACTTTCATTACATTCAGATTGCATTGTGCTACATATATAACTTGATTTTTTTTTTTTCTTTTTAGTTTTGTCCATTAAGAATGTCAGTCATTTAAATCATACCAGGGCTTATTTATAATGTCTGAAATTTTATGTATTAAATTTATAATATTTGTACGTACTTCCCCCCGTTGTTATAATTGGAATCTCCCAATAGAAATGTAATGTTATTACACTGGTTTTCATTAAAGTGCTAATTTATGCTTACTTGGTAACATGATATATTTTGTAATGTTTAAATTTGACAACAGTACTTTAATATTAGGTTCTGACCTCTAATTTTCATCTCTATGAATGTTCGAAATATATACTATATACATTATTTTAGTGTGTACGTATTAATATGTAAGAAATTGAAAAGGCTCGCATTCAAACCTACTCATGTTAAATGTAATTCTAAAGAAAATAGCTTAAATCTACAAGTTGATTTAGTAAGATCCTACCCCCATCCTCTACTTTTAATAACTAGAGTTACCTTGTCACATTAAAGTTCCTAAGTTAATAAATTCAATATAGATGAAAGTGAAACTAACAGTTTTCCCTTCCCTGTCCTCTGTTTGCAGCCTGGTTTGCCGCCTCAGAACTTCTCGATGTCCGTCACAGTCCCTGTGAGCAGCCCCAATGCCCTGTCCTACACTAACCCAGGGAGCTCCCTCGTGTCCCCCTCTCTGGCAGCCAGCTCGGCGTTAGCAGATTCAAGCATGCTCTCTCCACCTCAGGCTGCGCTGCACAGGAATGTGTCCCCTGGCGCCCCGCAGAGACCACCCAGCACTGGTAGTGCAGGTATGTGGCGGTAACTGTTCTGCCAGCTCTTTAACAGAAAGGGTAAAAACCCGAAATGCTAATAACATAAGCAGCTCCTAATGCTGCTACTCTTAATTTTATTGTTTCAATAAGCAAGAATAACTACTACATAACTGGCTCTCCAAGGTTGTTTTTGACAATCTACTGTGGCCCTAGCATTGTGTCAGGCCCAGTGGAACAGTATATGCAACCTGCCGTCTATAAGCTTAGAACATTTAATTAGGATAACATGAGCAGAGATTTAAAGTTGAGCGTGGGCCATGCGTGTTAAAAATATGGGAATAGACTTAACTGATTGGAGTTAGTGTTTCTTGCATCTCTCCCTGCTGGAATTTGTTTGTTAATTCAGTAGAAATTTGCAGTGGATTTAACTTACTGCCTTACTCAGTGTAATGCGCATCTGCTCTCCCGTGTCCTGGATTTATTAGTACTCCATTAGCACTGCTGTCATTCTTATCGATGTGGACTATCTCGTATGATACCCAGGAAGGCAGACACACCCAGAACTGACTAGGTGAGCTTATATACGGGGTGGGCAAAAGCAGGTTTGCAGTTGTGAGTATGGGAAACAGAGTTTATTCTTGTATTACTATTTATTAATTATTATATAATTTATATTGTCTTATTATTTTGTATTCTTATGATTTATCTTTTAGTAATGATGGCTGATAACTTACCCTATGTAGATTAACACATCAATGCCAGGTTCAGACTGGGCTGGTTTTAATTTTCGTGTTCTTTAGAAATGGAGTGAGGGCTCCCTCTGCTTATTTAGCTCGTAGTCATGCAGAGAGGGTCCAGCCCATACTCACGCCTTGTCCTCTCTCTGTGGTCGCAGGTGGGATGTTGAGCACTTCAGACCTCACGGTGCCGAATGGAGCTGGAAGCAGCCCAGTTGGTGAGTGAATTCCACTGCTTCGCTTTGTGGGCATCTGTCCTGTCCGAGGTGAGAGGAATATTGTCCCTCAGACAAGGCCGCCTACCAGACGAGGAAAAGATGGGCATATAGGATGTTTTCCTTTGTACATTTAACTTCCTTCTGATGGGTACTTTTTACGGATACATAACATTTTTTTGATAACTCCTGTTTTAGTCCTTACACCTTGGCCTTAAATTCAGTTACTCATTTATTCAAATATTTATTGAGTGCCCCCTTCATGGCAGACTTTGTTATTTTCTAAGGACTAAATTGCCTTAGTGCAATTTCTACAGCAAACCGTTAAGGAGAAGCTTCCTGTGTCATCTGTTCTCACCAAAATTAGACCGTTAACAGGCTACAGATACATTTTCCAATGGCATGAAATGTTGTCAGACAGATTTCAAGGTGAGGAAATGGTGAGCTTACTTCTGGAGAGTCAGAGAGCATTGAGAAGTTTGCCTCTTAAGGATCTGTTTTGGTGGCACATGGAGAACGTTCACATTTTGTCATGGTTGCAGCCATGTTGGTTCTTTTACTTTGGGACCCCTCCCGAGATGACTAGTACTTTAGACCCACATCATAAATGTGTCTCCCTGCCTGGAAGTGCTGGTAAAGATAGATTATGATCTTACAATGACAAAAATACGGCACATGTGTCAGAGTTATAGGAATAACTGTATCCCTTTGGGTTATCATCGTGTTAAGTCATCTGGGTCTCTTATTCTACGATTATTGTCACAGTTCTCTGAAAGTAAGAGCAGGTGTTCCCTGTCTGCTTGTAAATACTATTGTGTGTTCCTGGAGACATCTGAAAACAGATTTCTTACAGGGAAAAGTCCCGATTGCATTTGGCTCATTCCACAAAAATGTAGTAGGCCTTAGGAAAACTATGGAGATGATTGAATAACTTAATTTAAAATAATGAGAAAGAAATAAACAGGCATTGTTATTAATAAGACAAGTTACAAAACATATAGTGACCTAAAGTAGAAATAAGTGCCTAATTATATCTGCTACTGTGTTAATTGCTATTTTAATGGAATTAAACTGTTGTAGGATCTTTTTAAACAGATAATTAATGTGGAACAATTCATAAGGGTCTTACCAATTATTAGGGCTGTTACACTTGCATGTGTATTTCCAAATATTTATAGTGTCTTTTCAACTCTGTTTTAGTTGTTTGCATGTTACATTTTTTTCATGGATGCTTATATTCCCCCAGAACTGTCCATCTTGCTCTCCTTTTTACTTTCCAGCCTGGTTAAGGCTGGAATCAATCATTCCTATTTCATTTAATGTTAATTTTAACTGCGTCTTGGTTTCATTTCCAGAATTATTTCTTCTTCATGGAACTTATTGGAAGATGTTCTCCCCATGCTTTTATTTTTGCTCATCCCACTGGCATTGTAAACACTGTTCTTTCTCCTAGAAAACAGGTTCTCTTATTTTTTTTTTTTCTCTCTTTAAATCTAGACCTTGTCTTTGCTCTTCAGTTTTCTGTGTTCCCTTTGGTAATTTCAAACTCAGACTTGTGATCATCCTAATGTGAACTTTCTCCATGTACTTCGAGGGTTGCATCAGTCACAGTCCTCAGATTAAGCATGTTAACTGTGGGTTTGTACAGAGCATCTCAGTATGTTATTCGTGTGTCCCTTTTATACCTCTGCTCCACTACCATTCCCTTCCTCCCCCGTCCTAGGCAACTATTTTAATATGTTTAGTGTTAATAATCATGTTAATCATCATCATTAGTGAACATGAATTTTTATTAAAATTTAAATTTCAAGTAAGTATTAAAATATTTTAAATGCCTAGTGATTTATTTAAAAGCATTTCTGTAGACAGAGAAATCGTGTTTCTCATTGTGCATCTCAACATTTACAACACACGATTGGGAGTCTTGATTCATCACTGATTCATACTTTTGTACACGTAATTTACGTGCACTCGGTCTAAGTCTACTTACTCTACTTATTTGGATTATATTCTGAATGACATTTATGTTATAACTACTTTTTAACATGTGAATTTAGATTCATCTAAGTAGACACCTTGTATCACTTAATTCATTTGCCAACTGGAAGTAGTTATTTCTGTGCAATACTTAGAGCATATGTGGATTTAAAGTGCTATAAATACCGCCCCTCCCCCCCCAATAAGTGGTTTATCATAGGTATTTTAGAAATGTTATTTTTGTGAGGAAGAGTCAGAGAATATATATTAGCTCATTTTCAATAGCGGTGCCATTTTGGTTTAGTGGTTTCAAAAAAAATATTTTAAACATTTTTAAACCTAAATAAAGTTTCCATGAATAAAAAGATTAAACATTTAAAATTCCCAGAGAAATTTAGAAGAAAATATATTAAAAGCTGTGGTATGCTATCTAATCTGCATTTTTCAAAGCGTTTTTCTTGGATCTGTATGAAAAGGAGGTCAGACTTATCTCTGTGTTTTGCGGATCACATGCTAAATAAAACTAAATAGGTTTCTTCACTCTAGGACTTACCAGAACCTTTAAAATGCGAGCCTATTTTGTGAATCTTCAAACTTAGTATGAAACATACCTGTATGCTTACTCAAAGTGATTTCACAATACAACCCTTCCCTTTTTTAAAAAAAATGAAAAAGTGTCTTTCAGTGTTAATGTTATATCAGACATATTTTGGGAACTATTGCTTCTAATATTAAGGTGATACATAGAAACGATAGTTTTTGGCTGATTTGAAAACTTGCATAAATAAAATTAAAATGGAGGTGTAAAAAAGGAAAAGAAAGGCAATCAGATTTCTGCTGTGATAATGGCAGACTTGGTCATTTGGACTTAGGCAGAATATTTTAAAGATCGGCTTGAAAGCATTTGAGAACTAACTAGATAATGATGAGTCATTGGCACAAGATTCAGGGAATGACAAAGACAGATTCAAAGACATGAGCCCAGAATTTATGGTTGCTTTTCTTCAGGTGGTGTTTGCCAGTTCCACAGTGGGGTGTCTAAGAAGCTGTGTATGACAGCCTCAGAGATCTAGGGGGACAGAGAGATCAAAGTTCAGGGCCCACAAAAAATTGGGAGAGCCTAGTATACTCTTCTAATTTTGGGTTGAGATCCCAGAAGATTGGACCCTAGAATTAGAGTGAACAGATGAAGAGTTGCTTCTAATGGATGAGCAAAGAAAGTGTTTTTTGGAGATGGAATGTACTTCTGGTGAAGATGCTGTAAAGATGGTTGAAATGACAACAAAGGATTTAGAATATTACATAAACTTAGTTGATGAAGTAGTGGCAGAATTTGAGAGGATTAACTCCAGTTTTGAAAGAAGGTCTGTTGGAAGAATGCTCTCAAACAGCATCTCATGCTACAGAGAAATCTTTCGTGAAAGGAAGAGTCACTTGATGTGGCAGACTTCATTGTTGTCTTATTTTAAGGAATTGCCACAGCCACCCCAGCCTTCAGCAACCCAACCCCCCAAAATCAGTTAGCAGCCATCAACATCGAGGCAAGACCCCCGGACCAGCAAAAAGATGACAATTCACTAAAGGATCAGATGATGGTTAGCATTTTTAGCAATATTTTAAAATTAAGGTATATACATTGTTTTCTTAGACATAATGCAGTTATACACTTAATAGTTGATACCATAAGTTGATACCGTAATATAAATACAACTTTTATATATGCATTGGGAAGTCAAAAATTTGAGACTTGCTTTATTGCAGTATTCACTTTGTTACCGTGTTCTGGAACCGAACCTTCAATATCTCCAAGGTGTGTCTGTACATGTTATAAGCAGAGAGTTTTTTGTGAAGAATACCTACAAATCATCAAAAGAAGAAAATTCAATTTTTAGAAGTATGTATAAGAAAACATATTTCACAAAAGAAGCTAAGTGTTTAATAATAATTTGTGAAAAGATGCTCAATCTCAGTAAGCAAGGAAGAACAAAATTAAATCCACAAACATTATACACTTACCGGAACAGCTAAACCAAAGTAGATAATACCAAGTGTTGACAAGGCTATGGTTAAACCCAACTCTCATACACTCATGGCAGTACAAATTGGTACAACCATTTTGAAATTACCTACCTAAGTTGGAGAAATGTGTATTCCGTGACCCAGCATTTCCACTCATCTTTATATACTGTAGAGAAATGCATATGAGCCCCAGGAGATATATACAAGAACGTGCATAGCATTATATGTTACAGCCAACGTCTGGAGGTAATCCAGATTTCTCTCCACGATAGAGTGGGTAAATAAATTATGTTTGAAGGAATATTGTAATGCAGTGAAAATGAAGAAAATCTAACAGTAATCCTCAGCACGGATGGATTTTGCCATTGTAATATAAATGAAAGAAAATAATACGAATACTAAATGATTCTGTCTATGTAAAGTTTGAAAAGCAGGTGAGGAAACTATAGTGTTAACGATGCGTGCATAGATGGATGGTAAAACCACAGGAGGGGTGTTGGGGGCCCAGCTGTAGACACTGACAGGGCTCTGGCTGTATTCTTTTTCTAGGTCTGACTGATGGTTACATGGATGTGCACTTGATGGTAAATCCTTGACCTTTAGGGTTTTGTTTTGTGCACCTTTCTGTTGTGCTAGATTAATAAAAGATTTAAAAATAAATGTGCATGCTTGTGACATTGTAAATTAGTAACAGTCTTTCCTGAAAGATTCTGGCCAGATGCTTCAGTAAGTCACAAAAGTGTTTATGCCTCTGAGCTCACTAGTCCCATCTCTGGGAATCTCTCCCAGAGAAGGAACTAGAACGTGCAAAGGTCTTTTACAGCTTCATTTATAGCAGCTAGAAAGCAATGTATTCAAAATATGAAATTAAGTATATTAAAATTTTCAAAATTCCTTTTTAGTTGTAATTTTAAACTATGCAAAAAATACGCACATGGAAAGTAAAAAGGTGGGGAAATCCAAAGTGATTATAATAGTTGTTAGGATGGTGTGAATAGGCATTTTCC